CATATCTCTGACATATTACTATAAACAAAACTATACATTTTAAATTTGACTGACAGGGACTGTGCCATTCATGGCTCGTTTGTTTCTAGATTGTTCTGGGAGTGATGTTTTTAGATATTTGCAAAATGGGAATGCAACATTGTATCATTTTTTTTGCAAAGCATGAACAAATAATTTACAGTAAGAATAAATCAAGAAAGGAGAATACATTCTAATATACTGAATACTGTGTCTTCTTTACAAAGGCTGCTTTTACTAAAGATGGGCTGAGCAGACTCTGGAATGAGCTTGTTAAAGATGGCGAGATAACCACTAGTAATTCAGACACTGTTGTTAACTGTGTAGGTGTCCCAGCACGCAAAGGTAGGTCAAATTCATATTATTGTGTTTACTCTATTAGTGTTTTGGTCAATGTTAACGAAACAGTGTACAATAAATTGTATTTTGGGTTTAGAACCACTTTTACTAAAGATATGCTTTTAATAGAGCAACTACATTACAAGTAATCTACAATGTAATTTATCTGATACATTCTATCATTAGTTTGTATTTGCACTCAACATAATAAACAATCATTGCTTTTGCTATTAATAGTGACTATGAATACATAATTCTGTGTCATCACTTAGCATATTAATTTGTTGCTATATGATTGTTATAATGTTATCAGAAATGCTGGTATTGTTATTGTGTGTGGTAGTCACCTATTCTAGCCAACATAGGTGGAAAATTTTAAATGGTCAGGGTTTTGTTTGTTTTTCTCCCAAATTAGCTAATTGTGAATAGTTGATAGTCTTGTCACAATTCACAAAATAAGCCTACATCAGGTGGCAAATTATGTCTATTTTGTTCAAAATTAATGAAGAAATTTAATAGAAAAATTTTAAATGGTTACTGTAGAAGAAAAACTATTCACTGGGTTTAATTTTGATGTATGTGCAAATTCAAACCATGCCAAAAATTATTGTCCTGCTATATGCCTTCCTAGTTATAATTTTATGTTACCTCTGTTTGTACAATACATATATTAGACCCACAGAGCTCTTCTTTATTCTTTCAATCTACTCACATGTAATCGAGAGACTGAGTATGACTTGAATTATGGAATATATTATAATCTGGTTTGTAGGTGAAACTGGGCACTATTACTGTGGAATGAGAGTACTTTCATGCAGTTGCTGTGATGGTCATTGTGGACCAAACAATGGATGTAACTGTTCACCATGTCAGAAACTAGACAAAGAAGAGAAAGAACACAAAGACGATGAAGACAAAAGACCTCCACCTGCTATGGCACTGATTGAATCATGGACATGGGGAAAACAACCTGGTAATTAGACTGCATGTGTCTAATTTTGTTCACACTTCTTGACCCTTCTCTCCATTTCAAATTATGTTTTTGAGCAAAAATATAATTGAAAATGGAAACAATCTAACAATGTAATGACCAAATGAATGGTATGCCTGTTGTTGATTGAGACCTGTCTAGTGATTGCAGTGATTCAAATGCTCACTGGACATCATTTGCCAGTATCTTTTCAAAATGTCCTAATTTCATTCAATCATTTCAGACTTAGGG